TGCCAGGAGAAAAACTGTGAGTAACCAGAGAAGCTCAGAGAAGAAACAAGCCTACTCGAGCCACATGCTCACCTGCCCTAAGACCAGAAGAACTAGATGGTGCCTGGCTACCACCACTGACCTTTCTGACCAGGATCACACTAAATGTTCCCAGATAGAATGGCAGAAAAATGTGAAGCAGAACTCAAGTTCTTAAATAGAAAAAAAGCTAGACAAATTGGAACAGTAGGGAACAGAGGACTCCCTGAGACTATCACCCTGAGATACTCTTTAAACCTAGAACAGAGCCTATCCCCTGACATCACCTTTTTGTAAAATAGCAGAGTGGCACACAAAATAAGGGATATTACCCATAAGATTGATGCCCCACCTAAAAACCATCAATATGACACCAAAAGGTCAACAATTACTCAAAAGCAAAGATGAAAATGTAAGGGAGCAGGGGAACTCCAGTACTGGAAACAGAACAAACAGAACACAATTAAAGAGACTGTCGACACATTGTGATCAATGTAACTGATATCACTGAACAATTTGTGTTGAAATGGGAACCATGTAACCTTCCACCAAAAACTCAATTAAATATCACTTTAAAGAAAGAAAGAAATGCTTCCAGCAGAAGTCAAGCAGCATCTTCCAAACTGCAGAGAGTAGCAGGTCATGGTCCGTTACTTTTGTAGGCTACAGAATTTTATGTTGGCATTGCTAGATATGGCAGGTTTAAAATCAAGTGTCATGAGCTTTGTAGATGAGTAGCCCTCTGCTAGCAACCAGAGGGTGCTGTAAGATAGCAAATGGTAGAGTGAGCTTGTACTGTTCAAGGGGTAGATGAGCAAAATTATTAACAAATAACTTTTCTTAACCCAAGTTAGTGCTAGGCTATCCCCTTCACACTTTTAAGAACCTTATTTATAATACATGGTTATATACCAAGATTGTTCAAGATCCACGTTTACAGTTAATCCCACAAATGTTTTAACTAATCCAACAAATAATTTTTTTCTGAACTACAAACCTGGCACTCCCTTAATATTGAATTACATTCACTTCTTTGGCAAAAGGCTCATTGGCCAACTGACTAAACTCCTTTAGAGTATTCTGAAGATCTGGGTATGAGCCATAGAACATTCAGATAATTAGAAAATCAACTCTACTATATAGTAAAACAAAATATAATATCACAATATATAAATCAATGTGTGCCGGCACAAGTATAGACATAAAAATAAATAGAACAAAGAGATATTAATAAAAGTAAAGGTTATTCTAAATAACAATATACATATTTTACAGATAAACCATAGTAACTGAGATATCACAAATCAATGGGAAAGGGAAAGTAATCAAATAATATAGTTAAAACACACACACAAAATTTAGATTCTTCTTATCTTACAATAAATACTAGATGTAATAAGGATTTAAAATTTTTAAAGATCAAATCATAGAAATGCTACAGTGAGAAAATAATAATAAAAAATCTGAAAGGAGGCCAATTTTTTGAACTGAGCTATGATAGAAAAAAAAAATCATAAAGGAAAAGATCAACCATTTATGTACTTTAAAAGTAAATTAAGAAAACAATAGATTAGAAATATGTGGAAAAGATAATGAAGGTTAATAGTATTATCATACCATACAAGAAATAGTAATGATTGTGGTGGATGGTAGTAATAGTTGTAAAAGTTAACATATATTGAGCACTTACTAAGTAATGAGAGCTCTGGTGGTGTAGTGCCTAAGGCATTTGACTTCTAACCAGAAGGCTGGCAGTTCAAATCCCCCAGCCACTCCTTTGGAAGGAAGGTTGGGCAATCTACTTCCATAGTGATACTGCCTCGGAAACCCAAGAAGAGGTCTCTATGAGTCAGATCCAACTTGACGGCAGTGAATTTGGTTTTCTTTTGGTTACTAAGTAATGTTGTTGTTGTTGTTGTTATGTGCCATCGAGTCAGCCCCGACTCATAGCGACCCCTCCTTTAGTTTCCGAGGCAGTATCACTACGGAAGTAGGATTGCCCAACCTTCCTTCCGAGGAGTGGCTGGTGGGTTTGAACCACCAGCCGTCTGGTTAGCAGGCAAATGTCTTAGCCACTATGCTACCAGAGCTCCCTACTAAGTAATACTATTCAAAATTATAGCCAACTAGAAGGCTGGTGGTTCAAACCCACCAGCCACTCCTTGGAAGGAAGGTTGGGCAATGTACTTCCATAGTGATACTGCCTTGGAAACCCAAGGAGGGGTCGCTATGAGCTGGGTCCGACAACAACAACAAACAGGCATAGAGGCTAGGATTTACAATACATCACAAAATGGAGAAATATGGCAAGAAGGGTCATATTAAACAATTCACTGCACTGCAGAGATAGATATATACAAAGAATAAGAACAGTTCAAATAACTGCTAACTAGCAGGTGCTTGAATCTCAGGCTTTAGTGTATATTCCTCATGAACTGGGCTGGACCACCTGTAAACTTCTTTTGCATCCTTGGGCTAAGACCTAGACTAAAAGCAGGCCCCCTGACACTCTTCCTGATCTCTCTACCCTATCTAATGTTGATCCTTTAAATCTTACCACTTTGTAATGAGAAGAGGCAAAGAAAAATGAGACCTTGGGAGGGTGGGAGTATTTTCCCCTAAGACTTGGGATAGATTTCCCAAGATACCAGCCCTCAAAATCAAAAACCAAACTCACTGCCATCAAGTTGATTCCAACTCATAGTGACCCACTGTGGGTTTCTGGGGCAGTAAATCTGTACAGAAGTAGATTGCCCAGTCTTCCTTCTGCAGAGTAGCTGGTGGGTTTGAACTGCCAACCTTCTGGTTAGCAGTCAAATGCTTTAGGCACTATACCACCAGAGCTCCTTGCAGACATTGTTATAAAGGAAGCTGGAGAAAGTAGATAGATGGGGAGAAGGAGAGGAGAGGGAGGGGCTCATGCTTAGAAGAAGGCACCATAGACAGCATTGAGAGTTAAGAGCAAATGGGAGCTCTGGTGGCATAGTGCCTAAGGCACTTGACTGCTGACCAGAAGGCTGGTGGTTCAAACCCACCAGCCTTTCCTCGGAAGGAAGATTGGCAATCTACTTCTGTAGAGATACCACCTAGGAAACCCAATGAGGGGTTGCTATGAGTCAAATCGACTTGACAGCAGTGAGTTTGGTTTGGTGTTGGAGTGCTAATATAGTCACAGATCTGACTCATATCAGCATCTTTCTCAGAGTAGAGGGGGGGTGATCTTGAACTCCACCTTAACACTGGAATGTGCCACCACCCATTATACCAAACCAAACAAAACCAGAGCCAAAACCACTTAAGTGGATTTTTAGAACTGTATTATGTAGGGTTTCAATTGTTGATTTTTCAGAAGTAGGACACTAGACTTTTCTTCTGAGGTGCCTCCGGGTGGACTCAAACCTTCAACCTTGTAGTTAGTAGCCAACTGTGTTACTGTTTATCCCACCCAAGGACTCTAACAATTAATACACATAACCCAAATTTAACTGTGCTGCCTTAAGACGTGCATAGGCCGGATTTTGAATGCATGATAAATAAGTTCAAATCCAGAAAAGATGTAAAGATAAAGAGGAACCTTTATTGCAATCTCTCACAGAGGGCCCTTAAAGAAGGACTGCACTATGTGACACTCATAAAAAAAAGTCCTAAAACCCACTATACCTATTCCTGTCTCCCAGAGTTTCATTCATTAGAGTAACTGCTTCCCCAGTTCTTTTTCTACCACCCAGACTCTCCCTCCAAAGTTCCAGCCTAAGTTGACCTGTTTCCTGCTATTCCCCTCACTTGTTGGATCTTCTTAGTTCACAAAAGTCTCCATGACATTTCTAAAGTAAATAGAATTTCTTCAGATCTCTAGCTTTTGCCCATTACCTTGGTCAATACGATAGTCATTAATGCAACAAATACTTTAGAATGCAGAATTAGGAGAAAACATGTAAATATTCTTTGACCCCGGCACATAAATATCTGGAAACTATTTTGTCTCACTAGAATTGAAAAAATATAAAAGACAAGAAAAAGGTTCCATTTTTTTGCCAATTAAATTAACAACAACAAAAAAAGTTTTTATGTGAACACTAAGAAATAAGATGCCATACTGATGTATTTTGAAGGCATCATTATAAATTGGCAAAAACCCTTATGAAAAACAATTATGCAATATATGAAGAGAATAACACAAATGTTCACACCCATTAGCCCTCATAGGAATCCAAACTAATGAAATAATGTAAAATAATAATAATTTTTTACCATTAATGAAAAAATACAATTAATGCAAAATGTTTTTTGTATTATTTTCAAGAGTTTCATGAAAAAAGTGGAAATTACTTAAATATACAACAGAAAATAATAAACCATGATATGTCCACTAGAATTGAAAATATTGATTTGCCCCTGTGTAATTTGCATTTCTATATACCATTAGTCAACTCACTGCCTTCGAGTCGGATCCAACTCACAGCGACCCCTCCTTGGGTTTCCAAGGTGGTATCACTACAGAAGTAAATTGCCCAACCTTCCTTCCAAGGAGAGGCTGGTGGGTTTGAACCACCAGCCTTCTGGTTAGCAGTCAAATGCCTTAGGCACTATGCCACCAAAGCTCCTTTCTATATACCATATAACTATGTAAAAATGTAGATGTATGGAAAAATGTGCCAGAAAAGAATGTACCAAATGCCTTAGCATATTAAAATTATAGGTAATAAATTTCTTTTTTTTTTTTTCATGTTATATAAATTTTCTACTGGGATTATGTTACTGCTATGATAAAAATATTAATTTAAGAAGAAAAATCAAGTTTCACTAATTGCACAAGATAAAATGAGACTGTATACATGAAACAAATGGCATTTTATATTAGAAAAAAAGAGATTAGACTAAGTGCTGAGAGCAAAAAAACAACAACGGTTTCTAGCCCAGAGATCCTGTTTGACCACATTGTGTGCCAGATTAATGTTTTATGGCTTTTGTCTTCCTTTTAGGCTCACGTGATGCTCTCATAGTTGGTAAGTTTTATTAAGTGTTGGTTGATGAACTCTAGCATCTTTTAACAGTAAGTATCCATTTATAATGAATAAAATGTAAAAGAATTGATCAAAATATCTTATATTGCAAATACAATGATAAAGGTGGGAAAAGAAAAGGTAAGTACAGACTAGGATATAGTAAATTGGGTATTTTTATATCCCTGTAAAGATCTTTCATCAAAGGTTCTTTACTTTTGTTGTACCATTATAAATGGTCATTCTTCAGTGTCAACACTTCCTTATGTAAATATGACTAGAAAATACAACTTCCTCTTTGGTTTACAGCCTGGGAATATGATTCTGGATGGTAGTCAGGGCCAATTGTATAAATTGAAAGCCACAAAGACTAGTTTCCCAAGCCCATTTCTGTGATCTGCCCACATAACAGGAATAATTTTGTAGTAAGTTTGCTTCAAAGAGAATTAGTAGACTCTCTGCATAGGATAGTCTATGTCTTATGCTTTGCACAAGAGGAGGCATGTGGAGGGCAGAGAGAGCGGGAACCCAGGAGCCCCAGTGCTGGTCCTACCACCCACTTGTTGAAAGGCTGCTGTTGGACTAAAGTTTACAAAACGGTTCTGCTCACCCCTTAACAATAAGCTTATGAGAGTAAGACTAGTACTCTATATTAAAACTGGAGTAAAGGAGAAATCTGAAAGATAAACCTGTGTGCGGGTAAGTTTAAAAAAATAACTTATACTGCATAAAAAAATCATTGACACGCTGATGAGACTAGATACTAAGAAGCTAGTTAAAAATGTCAGAGTTATATTTTCTATACATTTAATCACCTTGTTTTATTTTATTGCCTAGGTACTTTCTTGGGCACGTTCTTCTTTATTTTATCCATCATGGTTCCCTGTTACATAATATTTAAGTGCAAAAGAGGGTAAGTTCAACCAGTTCTTCTAGAAAATATTCAAAACTGTAACTGCCACTTCTTAGAAGCCAAGGTAATAAAAAGAAAACCTAAAGACAGAGAGAGAGAGAGAGAGAGAGAGAGAGAAATAATTCTTATAAAGAGGATCCTTGATGTACACTATGGATAGAGAAATATTCAAAATAAGGGAGACAAATATGGTACAAAGAATGGTTTTTTAAAAACCTTAGAATTTTAGGGAATAGGTTTTGCACTAAGAGAAAATAAGCAGACAGAATTTTTTTTGAAAGGTAGTTGATATCCTAGTCTTGCTGAGCTATTTCCAGGCACTGGCCTTAAAGCGCAGAACTACCTCATCATGGGAGCTCTGGTAGCGTAGTGCCTAAGGCACTTGACTGTTAACCAGAAGGCTGGCGGTTCAAACCCACCAGCCACTCCTCCGAAGGAAGATTGGGCAATCTACTTCCCTAGTGATACTGCCTTGGAAACCCAAGGAGGGGTCTCTATGAGTCGGGTCCGACTCGACAGCACATAACAACAACAACACCTTATCATGGCATTCCAAGTTAGATTGTGTGGCCCCACTGGGACGCATATCACAAACTGCCAGTGTGGAAGAATTAAGACACTGCATTGTGTATTAAGAAGTAAATCTCTTATAAACACCACCTAGTTTGTAAGCTTCCAAACACCTTGCAAGGATTAAGGTATAAAAAAGAAACTTTTTTTTTTTGCAATGAATGAAGAAACATTTTTGACTGAGAATATACACAGCTTTTGTGCTGGTTGGTTTAATTATAACAAAATCAGTGAGGTCAGAGTCCATGAAATAAATGTTATCAGCTTGATGAGCAAATTCTATTCATATAAGAAATGGAATTTACAACTTCAAGTGAACAGTTGTCTATAGAAAGTAGTCTAAGCAAATAGATTTTCCTACAGCAAGCTTTACAGTAATTAAAGTTTTGATATTTCACAGGAGATGACAATTAAGTTAGTTTTAAGTAGAGTGTTACAGTTGAACTTGCAAACAACCTAGTCAGGAGCTCAATTTCATGATAAAAATGAAGAATTAGTAGAAATTTAAATATAAGTTAAATCATTAATCTTTCATGGATTGACATAAAAAATCTTTGCTCTTCTTCATTACAAAGAAATATAAGTAGCCTGATGCTTTAGACTAGCAAAAGTATTATCAGTAACCTTTTCCCCTTAAAGTTTCTCATTAAGCACTACTGCAATTTGTTGGTTAATTTAATCTTGTTATTTTAACTAAGAGTGAATTATATTAGTTGGGCCTTCTAATTTTCTAATTACATATCAGTTTTTGGTTAAAACTCACAAAGGGAAAATGATTATTTCATATTCTTGGAGATATTCAGGATGATGGCCTTCTTACTTCCAACTACTTCATTCCTCATCTCCTACGTCCCATACCTTGTTAGTCAACTAGAGGATCAAATTCCATCTATTGCTCTGTTTTAACCACATATTTAAGCTTATTTCCTCATATTATTCATCCTCAGACATAAATAACACCTAATAACCATTTCATAAAAATTATTTCCTTGGAAATGTTTTGATTATTATCTAGCTGATCTAAATAACCTCATGTCATACACTATTTCTTCATAAGGTGTTTTCCATCGCTTACAACACACCTTCTCTTGTTTTCACATTCTATATAAGTTTAATGTCCATGACACAGTCATTCTTTCTCTGACCAATGACGACCAGGGATATGACATGGAGATCGTGGTCCTCTTTAGCCTCAAAGGTCAGGGAGATAAACCTCCCAAATATCCAAGTAACCCACTTCTTGGAATAATGAGTGCATTACTGTAACAAAGTACATTTATTTTCATTTGGAAATAACACCCAACTAAAATGCAGAAGTCCCTTCTCTTGGAAGTGATTGGGCAGATTAATTCCTTAGCCACTCACAGGACGAGAAACACATAAATATCCTTATGGTTAAGAAGTTATCATGGGAGAGGTACCAAATATGAATGGAGAAGACTTTAATGGGGTCACCTAACTGGAAGAGCAGTCAGTCTATCTCAGAGCCAAAAACAAAATAGAGAGTAGCCACAGATGGCATGCGCTGTGTGAGGCCCAGGATCCAACCAGGTCTGGAAGGATGCAGGCTGAAGTCGACTCTGATCTAGTATACAATTCAGGAACCCATCAATTTTTACTTTTGTGACCTCTCTCTTAAGTGGTGTTTAGTATACTCATTCATTTAGAAGCTCTGGTAGCGTAATGCCTAAGGCATCTGACTGCTCATTGAGTAAATATTTATTTAATACTTTTTTGTGCCAGTGACAGTTCTAAGGCTTGTTATGCATTCATAGGTGAAGGTAACTGACAAAAATTCCTGTTCTTATGGAGTTTATGTTCTATCTAGTAAAGAGAGAGAGGTAATAAGCTTAACTTATTAATTATAACAAAAGGAGATAAAGGCTATGAAAAAATACAGAGCAGGATTTGAGGGATCAGAAATGTGGAGAAATACAATATTTAATAGGATGGTTAGGGTAGGTCTCAGGAGGAGGGTCTTGCAAAGACTTGAATGTGGTATCATTTCTGTGTGTGTATGTGTAGTCTTTTTATTTTTGTCTCATTTTGGTTTCTTAGTAAAACTTCAGGCTGCTTATTCTTTTTTTTTTTTTT